TCGACCCATGGTGCATAAGGAATAGGTAGTGGCGTGTACAACCCAGATGGTTGCATCTTCGATTTAGCATGCTGGCACTCCACACATCTTGCACATAAATTCTCCACATCTCCTTTCATGTGAGGCCAATAGAAGTGCTCTTGCAAACAACTCAATGTCTTGGCTACACCAAAGTGAGCCATCAATCCTCCTCCATGAGCTTCCTTCAACAAAAGCTCTCGAAGTGATGTTCTAGGTATGCACAATTGATTACCACGAAAGAGATAACCATTACTTCTGTAGAATTTTCCTTCTCCATGCTTCTCACAAGCCTTATAAGTCTCTCCAAAGTCGAAATCCCCATCATAAGCACCCTTGATTTGCTCGAATCCAAGGTACTTGGCGTCCATAGTAGTGATCAACGTGTATCTCCTCGACAATGCATCAGCAACCACATTCTCCTTGCCTTGTTTGTACTTGATGACATAGGGAAACGACTCAATGAACTCCACCCAACGAGCATGCCTCTTGTTCAACTTGTGTTGGGCCTTCAAATACTTAAGAGACTCATGATCAGTATGAATCACGAACTCTTTTGGCCACAAGTAGTGCTGCCATGTCTCGAGGGCTCGAACCAATGCATAGAGCTCCTTATCATAAGTGGGATAGTTAAGCGTAGCCCCACTCAACTTTTCGCTAAAGTAGGCAATAGGCTTATTCTCTTGCATCAACACGGCTCCAATTCCCAATCCTGATGCATCACACTCCACTTCAAATGTTTTGTCAAAATCAGGTAGCATCAGAACAGGAGCATGAGTGAGTTTGTACTTGAGTAGCTCGAATGCCTTCTCTTGATCTTCTCCCCAATAAAACGCCACATTCTTCTTGATAATAGATGTCAATGGGGCGGCAATGGTGCTGAAATTTGGAACAAATCGTCGATAGAAACCAGCCAACCCATGAAAGCTCCTCACTTCATTCACGTTCGTTGGGGTAGGCCATGCTTGAATCGCCTTCACCTTCTCTTCATCGACCTCAACACCATTCGCACTTACTATGAATCCCAAAAATACCACCCTCGAGGTACAGAATGTGCACTTCTTCAGATTGGCATAGAGCTGCTCCTTCCTCAAAGTCTTCAACACTTCTCGTAAATGCTCAAGATGTTCCTCCATGTTCTTCGAATAGATTAGAATGTCATCGAAGTAGACAACTACGAACTTCCCAATAAAAGCTCTTAACACGTGGTTCATCAACCTCATGAATGTGCTTGGTGCATTAGTAAGACCAAAGGGCATCACCATCCACTCGTATAAGCCATGCTTCGTCTTGAAGGCAGTCTTCCATTCATCTCCTTCCTTCATTCGGATTTGGTGATATCCCGACCTCAGATCAATCTTTGAAAATAGACTAGAACCATGCAACTCGTCAAGCATATCATCTAATCGAGGTATAGGATGACGATACTTAACTGTTATTTGGTTGACTGCTCGGCAATCAACACACATTCTCCACGTATGGTCCTTCTTGGGCACGAGGATAACAGGAACTGCACAGGGACTCATGCTCTCTCGAACATGTCCTTTCTCCATAAGCTCATCAATCTGCCTCTGTAACTCCTTCGTCTCCTCTGGATTCGTCCTATAAGCCGCCTTGTTTTGGATGGTAGCTCCAGGAACAAAATCAATTTGATGCTCTATCCCACGGATTGGAGGTAGGCCTTTTGGAGCTTCCTCGGGGAAGACATCTTCAAATTCTTCTAATACCACTCGTGCCCTAGGTGGTATCTCTTGAATAAGCTCTTGATTGAGTAGCACGCCCTTATAGACGATCATGATCATTGTTTCATGATCATTTAGAGCTTGCTTCACGTCTCCACTTCGTGCTATCATCAATGACTTAGTCTCCACGGCACTAGACCCCCCATGTACACTCTTTTTCGTGACTTGATATTCCTGCTCCTTCTCCTTCGCCCACTTTCGTTGCATTTGGAGTTGATCTTCATAAACTTCCTTGGGAGATAGGGGTTTCAACATGAATTTCTTCCCGCCGTGTACTAGCTCGTACTTATTAGTAACTCCATCGTGATGTGCCTTTCGATCAAATTGCCATGGCCTCCCAAATAAGACATGCCTCGCTTGCATAGGCACAACATCACATAAGATCTCATCTTCATACCTTCCAATCGAAAACTTCAAGAGAGCTTGCTTTGTTACTTTGATGGCGCCATGATCATTGAGCCATTGAAGTGTATATGGCTTGGGATGCTTCAAAGTGTTTAATCCCAACTTCTTAACCGAATAGACACTAATGACATTAGTGCAGCTTCCACCATCAATTACCAACGAGAGTAATTTCCCATCCACCGTGCACCTTGTATGGAACAGATTCTCTCTTTGTTCAAGCTCCTCTTTGGGTTGCACACTTAGAATTCTTCTAGCTACGAAAAGCTCTCCTGGTGGTGCCTCCTCCATCTCTATCTTCTCGTCCACATCAAAATCTGAATTAGCCTCCTTTTCTTCCTCAGAATCCGAGACGTACTCTCCATTCTCCAAAATGACTAGAGCTCTCTTGTTAGGACATTGGTTGGCCATATGTCCTCTTCCATGGCACTTGAAGCATTGAATTCCTCCACTAGAGCCTGTGGGTCTCTCTCTTGGTGCTTCAACCTTGGCTGCCGGTTTTGGTGCTTCTGGTTTTGAAACGGCTGGCTTAGGGTTTGAAGTCGAAGGCACTCCTGGCCTTGGTGCGCTAGAGGGAGGTGTGAACCTTCTTCCAAGGTTACTACGTTGTTGCTTCTCAACTTTGGCCGCCATTGCAACCAAATCGTACAACTCTCTAAATGGTTGAATTTCCACCACATTCCTGATTTCTCGATTGAGACCGTGTAGGAATCGTGCTATGGTGGCTTCATTCTCCTCTACAAGGTCAGCTCTAATCATCATCATCTCCATCTCCTTGTAGTAATCCTCTACACTTTTTGTACCTTGTCGTAAGGTTTGTAGGGCTTGATACATCTCCCTACGATGGTAGCTAGGGACGAATTTATCCCGCATGATGCTCCTCATCTCTTCCCATGTCTCAATAGGGCGTTGCCTATCCCTCCTTCTTCTCGTACAGATTTGATCCCACCAGATGATAGCATAATCCGTGAATTCCATTGCAGCCATTTGAACTTTTTTCCTCTCGGAATAGTTGTGATAGTCGAAAATCATCTCCATTTTTCTTTCCCAATCAAGATAAGCTTCGGGATCGGTAGCACCTCTAAATGATGGAATAGTGACCCTCACATTTCTCAATTCATCTTCAACTTCTCTAAGGTTGGCATCATCGTCGTCATACTCGCCTTCTTCGTCTTGCACTCGAGGATTCCCTCTCCTTGCTCGCGGCATCCCCAAAGGACGATGGCGCCTCAATTGTTCGGCCATGGGTTGCGGAACAATCCTCCTTTCTCCTCGCTCTTCATCTTCTCGCCTAGGCCTCTCGGCATTATGGTTTGGCGGTGCTTCTTGTGCAGGAGCTTGAGGCGCGGCTAGCCTTGCTTCGACAATGGCGAATCGTGCATTAACGTCGGCGGCGTTGGCTGCTAAGGTTCGCTGGATTTCCGCCAATTGATCCATCATTGCCTTCATTGGATCATCCATTCTTGTGGCACAAGGTAGTGTTTCTTGCGCTATAAGCCCACAAGAATTCGCCAAGATTTCTTCAAGAACACTTCAAGATTCCCAAGAACCTTCTTCTTCTCCGCTGTGTTTGAACCGGGCTCTTGATACCACTTGATATGATCCAAATCCGAAGAGAACCCTCGAACTCGGATTATATGACCAAAGTACGCAGCTTCAACGATCTTTTTATGATTTTCTAATGTCTCCTTTCTTGAACTCGAAAAATAAAAGATAATGCAGAATCAATCGGACAATCCCAACCGTGATGAAGGGCAATTGGTATATGAAACCAATCGGACAGCACCAACTCGTGGAAAGGGGCAATTGATATAGGGTAGAAGCTCGCCACAACTAGACGCGTTCTCTAGTTGATAAGAGACACGTGAAACCTCTGGAGCACTCTCGACAGAAGCTTGCACAAAGAACCAGTTCGTTTGAACATGAAACTTGAAAGTTGATTGATAATAGAATGAATTACAATGAGGGACTCATCCTCCTTATATAGGCAACGAAAATCCAATCCTAAACTAAGAAAGAAAGCAAACAAATAACCAAATCCTACAATTAAAAGGAAAACAGAACCTTAAAGGAAAAGTAAAAGGAAAACACAATCCTTAAAAGACAAGGAAAAGACCAAGTCAACAACTCCTTAAAATCTAGCCTTCATATCCACCTTCCTTGAAGCCCAAGTTGCCTCCATGCTGGTCCACGAATTGTAGAAGTATAATGGGCTTCCCATGATGTTGGTCCATGTCCAATTGAGCATAATGTCGATCCAAATAAGCAGCAAATTCCTCTCTTAATCTCTTGGCTTGTAGACGAGTAATTGGACCTTCGTGTGATGAATTGGACTTGGATTTGATGACCTCATCATATCCATTATCGATAAAAACAGCTTCTTACAATCAAAATAAGTGGTCATCAAAAGATACAAAATCATTGTTTTGGTCGAAAAACCTTTTTTACAACCGAAAAAGGTGGTCACCAAAAGTTACAAAATTCGTTATTTTGGTCGTAAAAGGTCTTTTTTCGTGTAGTGACGCCTGCCACGAATATTTATCATTTTATAGCATTTACATCTTAAAATTGTCAAAAACGCTAGTGAATTAATTCACTTGATAAGATGTGACAGAATTAGCAGAAGTTTCATCTTTATTTCTTTTCATTAACCGCGCTACTCGCGGACGAGGAATTATTAGGTATTCCGGAAGTATCAAGTATAAGAGAAATGAAGTGTTATTTCGAGTCGATTTAGAAAAGACTTTTACAAGTTTTTTGCTTACCCATTTTTATGAATTCGTCGAGTTTTCATGCCCATGACGAAAAGGGGATTGGCCATGGTCGCCGAAGAACTGCATGTACATAATAGACTACGCGGGCGATCACAGTTTAGAGAGAGTTTACGCCACTGAGCAACTGGCCTTTCAGCCCTCAAACATTGGATTCGTGACCTTCATCCCGAAAGTCTTCTTTGGGGTTCTAGCAAGCAGATCGAGCGGGCCGGAAGGTCTTAACTCGCATGTCAACGAAGTTCTAGGATTGATGGCAGAGCCGGCGATCCTAATTTTCTTGATGTACAATTCCCTTTGGTTACCCGATTGGGTGCCAGCTTCTTGTATTGCGTTGGCAGCCTATCTAATCGTTAATACCCTCACAACCACTTATCTTTTGGCGTCGCGTTCGACTTGATCGGTGGACCGACCCCCTTGTACCTCCAAGATGGCAAGTACTTTGTCCACTTCTCTGGCATCAGGTTGGGTGGCAAGATGCTGGACATAGAAAAAAAAGTGTTCGCAAAGATGGCGTCGAGGAAGAAGATTGAGATGGACAGCGAATCAAAACTGTTTCTCTTACACACTGAAGCTTTCGATGTGGTGAAAGAAAAGGTTGAGAGGATGGCTTTCTGGAAGCTGACTAATTCCGGGCTAAATGTACACATTTTATCCCTGTTTCTCTTTGGCGTTTGTGGGATTTGAGCTTCAAAAAGGGTGGTTTTACGTTAGGTTTGTTGTGTTTTAATGTGTTTCAAATTCTAACAGGCGGAACCAACCTTAGATTCGAAATTTGGAAGAAAAGGCGCGAAGATCAGGCAAAGAAGAGGAAGCATCCGCAGTTCATGATCCAAGTCGTGAGTTCACGGTCTTCAGGACTGTGAACTGGAGCCACAAACAGCGAATTGAAGAGGGTCCAGAGAGTTTTCAGAGGTTACTAACACCGAGTCAATTCACGGTCTTACGACCGTGAACTAAAGCTATAGACCGTGAACTCGATAATTGAAGTGGTGCGTTTTGGACTGTGTTCACGGTCCAGGCCAGAGGTTCACAGCCGTGAACCAGGACCAACTAGGCGAGACTAGTTATAAAAGGAGAGCTTAAAGGAGGAAGAAAGGTGAGCACAAAGTGAGAGAAACCTTCTTCTTCTTGAAAACCTAGAGAGAAAGCAATGAACCAAGAGGGAGAAGAGGCTAGGGTTTGCTCCAAGTCAAGATTCGGGAAGTTCCTCTTCAAGAGAGGATCTCTACAAGCACAAGGAGGGATTGAGGCATCACAAGGTTGGTTTTTTCCTTTTTCCTTTGTGTTCTTCCTTTGTCTAGCATGGAGTAGTCTCCTTTTCACTTGGGTGTTGTAGAAACCTAACTTCTACCATGTAGTTGATTGTGTGGATTGAATGATTCTGTGTGGTTGGTGTTTAATTTAAGATTTGAGGTATTTTCATGGTGATAGTGCATTTTGTGTGCTTGGCAATCTATTGTGCTAGATTGTAGAGAATTTAAAAAACTTCATTCGGCTAGATAATGTTTCAAACAATTGAAGTAGGGGTACATGGGTCGGCTCGAGTTGATATTTAAAGATAATTTCCCTATATTGCACCCATTTAAGGTTTATACTTGGGCCTTAGGTGGGATTTAAGTGTGATTTTCTGGATGAGTCAACTTTTTGGCGTCGTTGCCGGGGAACTTCGGTCAATTATTTTGAAAAGATTGTTTGATGTTAAAGTTGACTAACTCTCGTATAATCAATCCACTCATATCAATTGAAGAAGCTCTAACAACCTAATCAGATTCTATCTATCTCAGGTTGCAGTAGAAATCAAGAGAATTTGATCAGAATTCAACTGACTCAATAAACACACTTCAATCGATTATAATGAAACAGTATATCAATCCAAAAGTCATTACAACTCAAATCCCTAACGCATGGAACTAGGGTTCTTCATACCCAAGTGAGAGAAGGTCTACTCCATAAAGAGAGGGGAAAACAGAATTCAAAGCAGTCATACTGATAAAGATGAGAATAATTTGCACTGGGATGTCAATCTTCACTCCTGAGGATGCAATATGGGCTTCAATGGTTAGAAATCCACTCCAGATTAGCTCCTAGGGTTTGTTCTTCGCACTTTCTCTCTCTATAACTTTGTTTTTGCTCAAAAAGTCATCTCCCTTTCTCCAAAACCCGAAATTGGATTAAGAAGCAGCTGTCCGCGATTGCACGGCCAGACCGCACGACGGTGCAGCCTACTAGTCTGCTCGTGCACCCCAAAACGCGCCATTTCAATTAATTTCGCCAAGGGAGTGCACGGCCATTGCACAGCCCATGCAATCCGAGAGCCTAGCCATGCAGCTCTCTCGCACAAATCATCACGGCCACAAATTCATGTGCATGGCCGTGCGAAAAACAGGGTCAGGCCATGCAGCTTCTCGGTAAATCCCACACGGCCAAAAAGGCAACCATGCACGACCGTGCGCTTTCCCGTCCTGGCCGTGCAACTTGTTTGATCTCCCTGGCTCGTCCCAATTCCGCCCAATCGACCCCGAACTCGTGCTCAAACCTTCATTCATGTATTAGGACCTGAAATGTTATAAACAAGAACAACCTAGCGTAAAATCGGCTTAAAACTCGAGATCCGAGTTTAAGAATGGTTGACAAAAACATGTGTAAATATCGAGTCATCAAATTCCCCCACCCTTAACCGTTTGCTTGTCCCCAAGCAAACTTGACTTAAACCAATGCAGCTCTCCAGAACTTTATAGCAACAAACAACCCCGATCGTCGGTAGAAGATTTCCTAGATCAATTAGCAACTTACGAGGTCAATTGGTCTTCTAAGATGTCCCCTATCTCTCTCAATGCGAGTACTAGTCTCAAGCCCAGATCATGAGACGCAGTGGAACTAAGACAGTCAATTCATGGATAAGGAGACTCGCACAATTTAATGACCAAGGACTCTTCATATTGGGTGCTCTTTCATTTCATCACACTTGTTGGAAACCCATTTTCCTTATTATTTGTTTCTTTTTCTTTTGTTTTACTCTGCTAGGGTTCCAACTGCAGTTTTTATGTGCGGTCTGCCCTTATTAGGTGAGCAAGATCAATTTTTGTACATCTGTCGCTCGCCAGAGTACTTCTTTTAACTCCTATTCCTCACTTCGTGTGGAGGGTCAATGAAATTAGGGGGGTCGGAAGCTCTATCCGTGCCCTTAAAAACACATCATCGAGTAGGCAAACCGTTCAATGGGTGGAATTTTTACTTGTACTAGAGACGACTTAGCTTCACCTTGTAGGCCTACCCCACCAAGGATCACTGAAATCTCTTCCAAAACCCGATTTTGTGCAATGAACGGTGCCACACACGTTGGGCTTACCCCATGTTTTAGAAATTTCAAATTTTTGACATGGAGGACCAACTACTTTTTTCATTTCACACTTGATCACCATTTTTCGATACACGAGTCAACAACACAACATAAGGAGAGTCATCAATACCACGTGAATCAACGGCCCTAAATCCACTAGTTCACAAAATCAACCGGCACAACAGAGAGACAGATAGGAAAAATCTTATACTTCAACATCCTCCATAGTGCTACAATTACATCCCGAGGTTTCACATCACCATAAATACTATCAATTCAAAGCATGCTGATCAGGTTATTGCAGGGAACAGTAGTTGGAGCCCTCAACTCATCAAATTGGATAGTGGACTAGGCTCCAAGCACACAAACTAATCTATGTAGTCAAAGATAAACACCCCCCCACACACACACTTAAGCACGGCATTGCCCTCAATGGAGAAGAGGGAAATATAAGGGGAACGAAGTTAGCGGGAAAATGGACCGCCGGGGGACTGGAAATGGGACCAGTCATCAGAGGCAGACTGGAAGGTGGACCAGTGGAAAGGCACCGAGCTAGAGTCATCAAAACACCCCGGGTGATAGAAACCATAGTGCCTCCCCACAAGCGCTTCTTTTACGTCTTTAGCTGGACGTAGAGGGTGGATGCTCAGAGCGGTGTAGGAAGTAGGAACAAGTGCCTCCAAGAGCGGATCCACATCGCTCTTGAGGTACAACTTCAAATGGTGGCCATGCACACGAGAGGTGTGACCACCAGCACTCATCAACTCGACATGGCCATCCGGCAAGACGCAAGCGGGTGAATACTCGGATGGCCAGGGCGGTCGTGGCTTAGGAGCCGGGACCAGCTCATAGTGGCCTCCAGCTTTCTTTCCGGCAGGCTTAGCTATCTGCAGTTTCGGCCGCCACTCCTCCTTGATCTTTTCTTTTGGTAACGAGACGGACGAGAGTGGCGGCGAAGGAATGAGAAAAGAATCCTACAAAATGGGAGGCATAGAAGGATACAGGACAGACTCGGGCACTTGGTGAGAGACAGCATGCAAAGGCGATAAAGAATGTATATTATTAGCAATGGAAAATGTTATCTGCACCTCGCCATCTCTCAAGACTAAAGTCCCTTCATGCACATCTATGAGAGCCTTGGCGATGGCCAGGAAAGGCCTTCCTAGTATAAGGGGAACTTCTGCGTCTTTATTGATGCCCAAGACAACAAAATCTACAAGATAAAAGAATCTACGAACCTTAACCAGGAGGTCTTCCACTATGCCCCTAGGATGAACGACAGATCAATCATCTAATTGAATACTCATCCTAGTTGCATTGGGTTCACCTAGGCCTAGTTTCTTGAACAATTTATATGGTATAACATTGATACTAGAACCTAGATCCTCCAAGGACCTATCTACATGCAATTTACCAATAGAGCAAGGGATAGTAAAACTACCTAGGTCCTTCTGCTTCGGCGGAAGCTTGTTCTGCAGAATGGCCGAGCACTCCTCGATGAGATCCATAGTGGCCGACTCGCTCAGCTTCTGCTTCTTTGAGAGAAGATCCTTCAGGAACTTCGCATACTTAGGCGTCTGAGGTAGTGCATCCATGAAGGGCACTTGAACATTAAGCTTCCTAAGCATGGACAAGAAATTGCGAAACTCTGCCTCAAGCCTGTCTTTGTACATCCTGGTGGGAAAAGGGAGTTTAAGCTTATATTCAACCACTATTGGCTGTGGCTTTGGAGCTCGAGCCTCTGCTTCTTTTACATCACCAGGTCCTCTTCCGGCTCTAGGGCGATCAGTGTCACCTTCTTGGTACTCTTCGGCGGTGCATCCTCAGTCATAGTCCCATTTCTCAGCATGATGGCGTGCAACCCCTACTTATGATTTCTGGGATTCGGCAGAGGTTGTCCAAGAAGTGTGCCAGCCGGTCTAGAAGCAAGTACATCTGCCAGGTAGGGGTGGTATTCGGTCGGTAACCGGTAAACCGGTTACCGAATTTACCGGTTTCGGTATACCGACAGCGGCTAAATCGGAATCGATTACCGATACCGGTTTGTAACCGGTTTA